ATTTTAGTGCCATAAACATAAAAGCAGGAACTGCAGGATGTAATTAAAATGCTAATTTTAACAAAAAGCTGTGTAAGAATCACCCATCACAGTGGATGCTTTCATGTAATAAACATAAATATTATTTGTTGGCTGAGCACACAGAAACACAATCTACAGGAAGCTGGAAAATCTGCAACCTGAAGCCTCTTTCTTTGTACTGGCTGACGTAGTACTGCAGGTCGGCTTCTGTCAGCATAGAGCTCCTGGGAATCTGCTCCGGCAGACCCACAAACAGGCCACCTGTGATAAAGCGCACACACACAGCATGAGATCTGTGAATGAAGATTTAAAAATCTTCAGCATTCACAGCAAACACTGATAACCAGCAGGAAACGTCACCTCGAGCACACACTCCTGCGGTGCTGAGAGGGGGACGACCCTTCTGTGGTACAGAGAAAAACATTCATCACGTGTGGGTGATTTTTCCACCTGTTTAGCTCCCAAACTGCACACAGCAATGCTGGGTGTGTGTGTACATTCGATCCACGCACCGCTTCACTACTGCTGGAAAAGAAAATCTTGAACGTCCTCTCCAAATCCTTCTCCAGCTCAGCCTCCGCCACACCCTGAAACACAAACCCCACTTACGAAGCTGCAGTTTTTCTGTGACAGAAACAAACATTAACATTAATATATATATAACACTTACTGGTGTTTGGAAGTAGACCTGATAGTCAAATATTGGAATAGCCTTCAGTCTCTCGAAAGCAGGAACCAAAGGATTCAACGTGAACATTGGGGTGTTCAACGATGCCACAGCCCTTCACGCACATGGAAAAGCAATTTAACTTCACTGTACAGGCTCTGGGGGACTGTGTGTGTCTGTGTGTGTTCACCTGATTCTCTCGGGATAGAAGCGGGCCATGGCCCACACCAGGGAGCCGCCCCAGTCGTGACCCACCAGGGTGACCTGTGGTATGGACTGGAACAGGGGACCATAAGCTTTTGTGTAAACTTTAAGTTATCATGCTATTCAATGACAGTGTTGATACTCACCATTTTATCCAAAAATACGACTAACTCCTGAAAAAAGAGAGAAAAATATGATTCAGAAAAACATTTTAAAACAATACTAAATCTGTAGATTTAATATTTTTGTGTACCTTACAAAGCTCCTCATGAGAATATTCCTCTATGTCTGTGAGAGTCAATATGGCAGGAATTACACCAACACTGAGCTGACTCCACACAAAAACTGTATATAAAGGATGGTTGTAGCTTCTCTGATGTCACACACTGGTAAAAGTGTGGTAGTTAAGCCTCAAGCTGAGCATTTTAGGTCTTTTGATCCTGGGCATTAAGGGCTAGGGGAAGTGACATATCCCTGCTGTTCATTATAAAGAATTTATACTGGGAAGCTACATACATCTTTTAAGTACAGTCTATACTTTCAGTCTTTCAGTATTTCAACCTACCAGGGGGCGCTGTGGACTCTCCATATCCTTTCATGTCCAGAGCTAAAACCCTGAATCCTGCTGCAGCCAAGGCCGGGATCT